TCACGTTCTTCCTTCACCCTGACAGGAGCTTCACGTTCTTCCTTCACCCTGACAGGAGCTTCACCTTCTTCCTTCACCTTGACAGGAGCTTCTGACACCATGTCCTCGGTGCACCTTTTCTTTGGTGATGGACCCATGGCTTCTTCTTCAACAGGGCTAACTTCCTGTTTAAGCATTGTGCTAGGCTCCATTTTGTCTGGCTTTTTCCCTAGAAAACAGCAATGAAAAGATAATATTTCCTGGGCGTGGTGGTATACATCTTTAGTCCCAGAGCTCAGCAGAAGCAGGAGGATCTCTGTGAGTTCCAGGACAGCCTGATCTACATAGTGAGTTCCAGGACAGCCAGGGCTGTATACAGAGACCCTGCCAAAAAAAGAAAGAAAGAAAGAAAGAAAGAAAGAAAGAAAGAAAGAAAGAAAGAAAGAAAGAAAGAAAGAAAGAGAGAGAGAGAAAGACGAGAAAATATAATATTTAACAAACTCTAACCACTACAACATTGAAAACATACTCAAAAAGCTTATGGGATATGATGGGGTAAGAAGTTTCCTCCATAGTAAGAAGAGTCAAGAAAACAGATATCAGAGAATTGTGAAAAAGCAAATGCGGCCAAATCTAAATATACCAAAATGTTTGAAATGACAAAGAAGTCAATGGTACAGTTTTTGAAATTCTCCCGAAGCTTAAAGAAGCAAATAAGAAACTGAAGAAAGAAGTGAATTCATGAAGCAGATGAAAAAAAATGACAATTGAAATAGAGATCATGGGGAGTCAGAGCCGCACAGAAACCTTGGAAATGTAAAGACTGATGCATCAGACAAACAAACAAACAAACAAATAAAAAAACCCATTTAACAGAAAGCATCTAGAGCAGGGCTTCTCTGACCCTAAACCACCCATTCACAGGAGTCTCCTAAGGCCATTAAAAAACACAGATATTTGCATTATGATTCCTATCAGTAGCACAATTACAGCTATGAAGGAGTAACGAACATCATTTCATGGTTGGGGGTCACACAACATGAGGAACTGTGTTGAAGGGTCACAGCATTTGGAAGGTTGAAAAACCCTGCTGTAGCCGGGCGGTGGTGGCGCACACCTTTAATCCCAGCACTCGGGATGCAGAGCCAGGCAGATCTCTGTGAGTTTGAGGCCAGCCTGGTCTACAGAGTGAGTTCCAGGACAGGCGCAAAGCTACACAGAGAAACCCTGTCTCGAAAAACCAAAAAAAAAAAAAAAAAAAAAAGAAAGAAAGAAAAAGAAAAAAGAAAAAAAAGAAAAACCCTGCTGTAGATCAAGTATTACAAAAATTTCCAGGAATTAAAGACAGGATAGCGGAATTATTACTTCCAAATAGCGAAAATTTAAAAAAACAAACAAACAAACAAACAAAAAACACAGCAATCTCGACCACGACTTTCAGGAAAACTGGGACATGCTGAGGAGACGAATCCTCTGAAATTTTGGCTTAAAAGAGGAACCAAGTTACAGTCTAAATGTATAAACTCTAGTCCGTGAAAGTCCGGTCGAAAATCCCCCAAGTCTTGGGGAAAATGTGGCTATGCAAGTAAAGGAGGAATCTGCAACTAGACCTGATCAGATAAAGCGCCTCTCCGTGTCATCTTCTGGTTCGAAGATGGAGGGAGCAGAACAAAGAAAAAATACTGGAAGCTGCCGGACAGAAGCACCAAGTTAGGTACAAAGGCAAACCCACGAGGCTTTCCAGAGACTTCTTCGCAGAAACTCTAACGTCCGACAGCCACAGGCTGATACATTTTAAACCTTGAAAGGCAGTAATTGTCAACCCAGATTACTATGCCCAGTAGATTGATCTTTTAAAATCAGAGGAGAAACAAAGTCCTTCCAGGATCAGCTTGAACTAAAACAATCCACCACACTCAGCTGTCCTGAAAGAGACACTAAAGAAAGAATACTACACACAGAAGACCAAGATCCACAGCCGCACGAGAGAGCAGGGAAGGGAAAAAAGGTCTCACGATAAGAATAGAAAGGCAAACGGCATTTGGAAAGGGGCAAATCTTTTTACCTCAGTGAGCCCACAAAGCTTTAAAACGAACAAGGAAGAAGTCTGTACGTACCTTGCAGTCTCCAGAAAATATGCAGCCTGAGGGGTGGAGAGGCAGCTTATATATAAAGTGCGTGGTGCTGAACTCGCATGCGCACCTTAGAAAAGGTCACACACAAGGGCACTCATCTGTAACCCCAGCGCAGGAAGTCGGAATGGCAGAGACAGGACAGTCCCCGAGGCTTGCAGGCTTGCTCGTCCAGCCTGACCAGTGAGGTCGACTGAGAGGCTCTGTCTTTAATAACTAAGGGAGAAGGCACTAGAGGAAGACACCTGACGTCATTCCCCGGCCTCCACATGTACAGGCACGCACAGGTGAATACCCCCGCATAAAAATGTGCAAACAACAGAAAAGAAATATACAGAACTGAGAAATGTTAAGAAAAAAAAAAAACAACTGTGTCCCCTCTCCAAGAAACTTACTTCGTTGTCAAAGATAAAATGACAGAAAGTATGGAATATTGTATTCCCAGGCAAACAGAATCTGCACAAGCAAGAGCAGCTAGATTGTTATGTGAAAAAGCTAACTTCAAGAAGAAAACCGTAAGAGATAAAGAAAGCCACTGCACCTTAGTAAAGAGAACAATCCATGGAAAAGTTGTAATCATTGTAAGTACGTTCAGAAAATGTTGGAGTGTATCGGCACTACATTAAGGTATAAAACAAGAGACTTCTTGGACTAGTTTAGACCAATAGTGAGCCCAAATTTGAGTTCCCCACTTCTCCCC